CTGGGAGTTGAAGTCCACCCCTCTTAAAGTTGCCCAGGTTGAAAAACACTGCTCTGAAGAATTGGAGTTGCTCTGGTTGGGGAGGGCTCGTCCAGACCAGTGGCTTTTCCTCCCTGTTCAGTTCACTCTCGGCTCATCAAGCCATTCTTCGAGCCTTCAGTTTTGTTGCAAGCCGTCTTAGTGTCGATGACATGATCTTAGTCATAAGGTTGTGTCATGTCAGAGCAATAGGCGTATCTGACTGAAGGCTGTCCGGCCAACAAGCAGTGAGTTTGGAGCTGGGGTGGTGTGATGGTTGGGGCAGCTCTCCCCAACCTGGTGTTCTCCAGATGTGCTGAGGCTATGAGTCCCTGAATTCCCCCGTTGTGGGCTGGCAGTGGGCACAGCACGGTAAGGAAGAAGCCTTTTAAGAGAGGATGTTCACAAGAACAAGAATAAAATAGCTCACCATTAAATCCCAGGCCTCTCCGAACCCTTGCCTTGTCCCTATGCGTGACCTGGCTGTGCTACTTGGCACTGAGCCCCCCCGCAATGCTCTGCGTGCTTCTCCTTGTCCTGGATACTGTGCCACGGCCCCATCAGACCAAAGAGGTTGCACCAAGAGGAGCCTTTGGAGTGGGGTGGGGTGGCTTTCATATCTCAGCCCACCGGCAACTGGCCTCTCATACCTGGGTAGGGCCCCAGGCCTCTGAGTCCAGAAAGAGGAAGGAGGTAACAGCTGGAATCACCATCTGTCTCTGGGGGTTGCTGGGCCAAGGAAATATCTCGGCTGTAGTTTTTTTTTCCTCCGACAGCAAGCATTTTTGCATGAACAGCTGTCGCCGGGTTTGGAAGGGACGGTCTGCCTCCGTTGCCAGAGCATCTGCTTATCGAACTCAAGGGGTAGAGGGGTTTTTGGAAGGCCTAGGATTCGCCAACCGAGTCTTGAGTGAGTCTCCCTTTGCCCCCATCCCAAAGGTTTCTGCTGAAATTGTTCTGATCCAAACAAGCTCACGCTCGCCACTGCCACCCCTTACCAAATTTAGCAGATTTGAACCTGCTCTCTTTCTGCTCAAGTCCAGGTTGAGGAAAGTATGTGCTTGTGCCCAGCCTCTCTCTCCGCCCGCTGTCCCTTGGCTGAAATTTTCAGGGGCTTCTTATCCTGACTCCTCACAGGCCCAGTCAGCTTACCTTTTTGGCATTAACCGATTACTGTAACGTGTTATGCTTAAAAATGCTAAATCCAGTGAGAACAACGGTCTTGGGGGTCAGGTGATGTTGGGGAGGGGAAGATTCCCAAGAAAAGGTTTTCGAGAAAAGATTTTCCAGGAAAGACTGGACTGCTGTTTGTCCAGAATGGTATGAGGATTCCTACGGTGGGCAGGGGGTTGGACTAGGAGGTCTCCAAGGTCCCTTCCAGCCATATTCCATAGCAGTGTTTCTCAACCTTGGCAACGTTAAGATGGGTGGACTTCAAGTTCCAGAATTCCCCAGCCAGCAATGCTGG